ATATATTTTAGCTAAGTCATAAAAGCTCTTGTTGTTTCTTCTCACTAAATGCAACATAACCATATCTCTGTCTTCTTCTTTCTCCAACTCTTCAGTATATATCATATACTTATAACTCTTTTCCTTTCCTTTTGGTACTGAACGTGGTATTCTTTTCTGTATGCTTTTGTCTTTGGATTCAATGACTTCATCTTTTGCTTGAAGTTTCTTTTCCATCTCTCCACGTTCTGCTTTATATAGTTCATCTAACATCATGAAAATATAACAGGCATAACGAGGTGAAGCCCACATTGCTACAGCGTTTACTAAAAGTCTATGAAATAATAACCTTTCAAACCAGGAGCCAAATTCTTGCGATTTTCGTACGGAATCTCTTCTCTCGGTTTTCCGAGGGAAGCAATCATATGAGGAAATTCTTCTAAAAGTTCTTTTGTCTGTTGGTTTTCAAACCAATGATATGCTTGCTTTGTAGAACGAAGAGCATTCATTATACTTTGCATTTGGTACATGTCATCTTTGACCGAACGAATGAGGCGAAGTTGTTTGTTATATTGTATGTACTCGTATTCTTCATTTATGGCTTCATGAACGATAGCAATTGTTGTGTTCTCTGATGTTGACATTACTGTCTTTACATACAAAATAAAAAAATAAATAAAAATAAAATTAGCGTTATTTTTTCTGAGATAAACACTATTTCTTCACAACATTAAATTTTATCCTGTATGAAATGACTTTAAAAAGATTATTGACTGACTTCGAATACTATCTCATTGACGCACTGACAGACCCTCAAAACTGTGTTGAAAGTTCTTTAAGCTTTAAGATTGAAGGTACGACGCATTTTATCTTCACTTACGTATTGAAAGAATATGACCGTTATCATAACGAAGTGAATCAAACACTAATAAAATTTGTAGATAAAAAATTGGTTAACAATGAATATTTTAAACGTGAAGACCCAAACACTGCTGGAGATGATGAAGAATACAGACAAGTTATTGAAAAAAATAACGCAAGATTAGATGCAATAGAAAAGAAGTTTAATGAATGTCTTACAAACACGTATGAATATCTTATGCGGTGGGAAGCTAGATAGAAATAAATTTACGTCAAATATGCAATTTATAAAATCTTATGTCGACAGGCTACGTAGCACAGTGGTCTAAGGTGGTGTTATGGTGTTATGGAGGGGTCAGGGTCTGTGGTTCGAACCGCGACAGCGCCGTATTTTCTTATTTTCTTTGTTTGTCTTGTTTGTCGTGAATAAAAAGTGTCATAAAAGTGCTCTATCTTCCACGTGAATAAATAAAAAATTTACTTTATTTCTTCTTTATTTCTTTGTTCCCGTGGAAGAAGGGTTTTGCTGTTTTTCTCAGCCGAAATCAATGATTTTTTCATTTTTGGAATCCTTAGCGAATGAGGAATCTTTTCTCTCGTGGAAGCTTTGACCAAAAATAATGTTTAGGTGAAGAGGTGAGATCTCACCTGTTTTTTCACCCGTTTTCTCACCTGTTTTTTCACAAGCGTTTTACATGAATTGTACGATGTATATTTGAAATCCTAAACAATTTCGTAGCTTCTATTTCTTCTGTCAGTATGTCAAAAGTTTTAACAATACCGAAGGTTTCTTTATACTTCTTCTTGACGTCAGACAGAAGGAAATCTTCTGCTGTTGGATAGTTTTTGTTCAGAAATGCTAACATGTCCATTTTATCTTCTGCTGGCTTTTCTGCTTCTTTCTTTAAGTCTGCATAGTCGTTTCGCATTCTTTCTATCTCTTTGACGGAGTAGTTATATTTCCTAATTGCTGCTTTACATTTAGAACATTGCGGGTTCATTTTTGCGTTATACATTGAAATAAAACCAGCTAAAACAACTAAAGCGTCAATTGCTCTCTTCATCTCAAACATAGCGGGTCTTATTTGTTCGTTCCATACTTTGCCTCTTCTATCTTTATCTCTTATTTCCCAAACACATTTTGCAACTAATGAAACAAAGTTATCGTAAGTCTTAAACTCCTCAGATTTATATATGTCAGAAATGTTTTTATAAACCATGTCGCAATCTTTGTCCATAACTTTATGGTTGCAATGAAAACCAAGGAATTCATAATTTACTTTACGTATGAACTTCTTTATTTCTACTGAGTCAGTTGGTTTCACTTCAATTTCGTCGAATTCAGGAATAGTGAGTTTTTGTTGTTGGATTTCAGGCAATTTGGGTAAATGGTCAATAATGTCCTGCATTTCATAAAGATATTCTTCATTTGTTTCATCTTTCGCACTACAGTCTAAATTACTTGTTAAAAGTTCTTGCTTTATCTTCTGGATTTTTGTTTCGAAAGTATATGAAGAAGGAATGAAGTTTTTCATTTCTACTAACCTTGACGTAGGATTCATGACTAACGAGTTTGGTGCTGTTGTTGTTTGAATTGTTGTTGTGCCGATTGTTGAAATCATATCTTTTATACAAAATAAAAAAAATAAATAAAATAAAACTAACTTTATTTTTTCTGTCTTAAGGAAATTCATGAAAATTCACGGGGGTGAAAAAACAGGTGAAAAAACAGGTGAGATCTCACCTCTTCACCTAAACATTATTTTTGGTCTTTTGTGAAAATTCATGAAAATTCACGGGGGTGAAAAAACAGGTGAGATCTCACCTCTTCACCTAAACATTATTTTTGGTGAAAAATGACCAAATTTCATGAATTTTCACAAAAGACCAAAAATAAACGCTTTACATGTATTTTTCAGCAACTTCGTCAAATAATTTTATAGCTTTATCTATCTCATCTACTTCAAACGTTTTTTACCTTTCATGGGAGCACCATACCTTTTCTCAAACTTTTCAAGTAGTTCTGTTTCTGCAGCTCTCATATCATTAACGAACACAACCTTGACTCTATTGACTGTAGAGTCATATCTTTGAGTTATATTATATGTTCTTCCTATCTTATATCTCTTTGTATTGAAGTCCTTCGGTTTCTGAACGATGTAAAGTAAGCCTTCACTGCAACGTTCTGAGTCGAATGAACCATAAGTTATGAAGTTATATCCAACAACTGGGTCAATCCATAACAAAACTATTGGTATAAGACTTTTGTCTATAAGATATGCTCTTGTTCCATGAAATGCTACTGATATCATAAGCTCAGGATTTCTTGTCAAAATTTTCTGAGTAGAAGCATTTCTAACCCAGTCGTTTGTTTTCTTTCCAGATGGTGTTATAATGTCTGACAAAGAATATTTGTTGTATTTCTTTGAGTATCTTACGTTTAAATCACCTATTCTAACCACTTTGGTGTCATTGTCTATCTTTCTAACTGTTTCAAACTCAATGTTTGTCATTACTGTCTTTACATACAAAATAAAAATTTTTCTTAGAAAAAAATTAGCGTTATTTTTCTAACTAATGAAATTCATTATTTTTGTGCTGAATTCAATAAAAATAAAGTTTATGTTAGCATGTTAGATCTAACATTCTACCCTAAAAATTATTTTTTATTTTTTCTATCTTAAGGAAATTCATGAGAATTCATGAGTTTTTGACGAAGTGCAAAAGTTCACTTCGTGTCATAATGCAAAAAAATAATGCTGAAAACACACAAAATTCATGAGTTTTTGACGAAGTGCAAAAGTTCACTTCGTGTCATAATGCAAAAAAATAATGCTGAAAACACACAAAATTCATGAGTTTTGTGTGTTTTAGACCATGTTAGAAAACGGGTGAGATCTCACCTCTTCACCTAAAATATATTTTTGGTGTAAATTTATGACAAAAATAAATGGTACCATTAATGATATCATGACTGTTCTCGTTCATGTCTGATTTACATCTAATGAAAAAGTTTAGAAGAATTTTCTTATTCTTTCTGGCATGTTTTTATCTTTCCAGTACTCCCGCTCTAATGGTCCCAGATGTGTTGGCTTTGACTCTCTCAAGTTCTTAGATGGTATAACATCTTCAACGCCTCCTTCATATCTTACTTTATAAGTGTCATCGTTTGTGTTATAGCCAAGTATTTCAATAACCACTCCTCGCTTTGCTTCGTCAATGGTTTCAGCAAGTTTGCCATTACTACTTTCAACTAATTTGTGACGAGGGTAAAACGCAATAGAGTCGTCAGCAGCTTTTATAAGATATCCATTACCTTGCGTAGAGTCTACGATATAATAGTTTCTACTTAACCTTAAACGTTTCTTTGTCAACGGTTTGTCGTCAAGAACTACACGAACTTTTGTACCAGGAATGAGGGTAAATTGTGTTGAATTTCTGATATTTTGTGTTTGGCTTCGTTTCTTTTGTATATACTTTTCTTCTTGTTGTTGTGTCATTGAATTTGGTGTATGTCCTGTTGTAGAATGTGTTGAGGAATTATATACTTCGAGAAAGTGTTTCATTGTTTCTTCGGTAAAGTCTCGCTCTTGGTTTAAATCTCTGAGCGTTCTTATGAAGCGGTTAATGATGCCGAGTATGTTATGGTTATGGTCTTCAGTAGTGTAGTGAGTTATGTTATGCTTAATGAGAAATTCTGTGATTTCATTGCTGAGGTATGCACTGTCTTGGTCTGATGTTAAAGTACTTGGGCTATGTTCTGCTACAAACTTTTGTAAAACTCTTAACACTTCACGAGTTCCTTTATTTTTCATTATATACGCAAAAGCTTTGCGAGTGTTAACATTAATGAAGATGAGGAATGGGTTATGTCCTCCTTTTCTGCTTTGAATGAGTGTGTCAAATTGGTATGCGTCAGGAGCGTTGGAGTAAATTGGTAAAAAGTAGTCGTAAGGGTTTATTTTTGTTTGATGTACAACATTTTTGTCAAAGAACCTTTTCACTTCAGCTCTGTTAGTAAATCCCCAACTTTTTGCAGCTTCATTGAACTTCTTAAATGACCTCCATGGATGTTGTTCGAATACTTCTTTCAAGCTCATTTATGTAAAGTTAAAGATTTTATTCAAGACGGTAAGCCCGCAAAGCAGGCTCAAGCGCGTTCATTGAACGCGGTACCATGCAAATACAGTCACAAATGGTGGCATATAATCTGCACCCGAGCCTGTTGGATTTGTTGTGAAAGTGTGTGAATGATTTCCTCCTGGTTCAGTTGGTCGAAAAGTCTTTTTTGCTGAATTGTTATAAGATGGAGATAAAACATCATTGCCAGCTTCATACTCTGAGTTGTATAATGGATGGTCTCTTAATGAGTGGCTATGGTCGCCAGAAAAGTTTGTAGTTCCTGTATGAGTGTGCGGTGGAAGGTTTGCTTCAGTAATTTTCTTCGAACCTCCTGTTTGCTTTGAAGAGTTAGCACAGTATAAGAATTTGTCTACAATCTGCTGCCATGTACCAAAACCTAAAACTGTTGCTGGATTTGTTGAGTTCATTGACGTATAAATAGAGCCTATAGGATATAATGTTTCAAGAATCTGAGTCTTTAATGTTTGAAGCTCTGTTTTGTCTGCTTTCTTGTCTAACATTGTTGGTAGTTCATATGCTTCAAAGTTTCTGGCATGATCTTCGATATTCCTGCAACTCTTATCTAAATTGTTAAGAGTATCTTTTACGCTTGTACTCGGATTCTCTAAAGGTGCACTTGAACCAAGGTCAAAGTTCAATATTATGTCGTCTGCTCTAACAGTAGCGAAGGATTTATGTGTATGGTTCTTGTCGGCTTTACTATTTAATGTAGCTTGAAGTTCATTTATATCGGAGATATTGTGTTTATGTTCTTTATCTGCTTTTTCGGCTAATTTCTCTTCTATCTCATTTATTTCAAGTTCATGCCTACCACCACCTCCCGAAGAAGTATTTTTCTTCAGCTCTTGAAGAACGTCCACTTCGCCATCTTTGGTGTCAATAATGAGACTTTGAGTTAAAACCTTTCCTGTCTTAATGGATGTTTGTAAAACTTCTTCTTCACCGTGTTCGGGGTCATGGTCGTCATCATATCTTGTGAAATCAGAGATGTTGTCATACATTAAGCATATCTGTCTCAAAAGTTCTGCTATTTGAAACTGGAACGAAAGATATACAGAACTTTCATCATCTCCTAAAGTCAAGTCTGCTTTCTTAAGTATTTCTTGAATGTATGCAATGAGAACAGAGTACCTTGGAAAATATTCGAACAATATTTCATTAGCTGTTGGTTTTGGTGGTTCTTCTGGAGTTTCTGCATCTCTTGACTTCAATGCTCTTGCTCTCAAAGACCTAAATGTTAGAGCACCGGGTTTTACAAAGGACTTTATAAATGCTTTAATAGTTCCTGGTAAGTTATTGTTAGCATTAAGTAAGTTCCTTATGCTTCCATCATGTACGTCCATAGCACTATGTAAAAAATCTATACTTTTCTTGTAGTCAGCAATAGACTGACTGTGATTTTTTAAAGATTTGTCAATACCTTTAAGCCAATCTTCATGCATGTCTGATACTGAGCCAAGAATATCATTTGCTTCCTTTAGTGTATTTTGTGCTTCTCGTAAAGTATCCAATCCCGTACGTGCATTGTTTGCTATACGTCTTACAGTATCTATTTGACTCCTTGTTTCTTGCATCCAACCAGATAAAGTTTTAATAGTATCCGAACCATTTGAAATGAAGTTCAAAGCATTTTTAACGTCATTTAAAACTTCTTCACCAAGTACCGCCCATATCTTTCCGATTTGGTATTGAAGAACTCCATATGAAGCAGCTGTTAAACCAGTATTTATAAGGTCCCATATCCATGATTTAGCAGTTTTTCCATCCTTTCCATCCTTTCCATCCAAACCGTTTTCGCCTTGAGGTCCTTGTATTCCTTGTATTCCTTGTATTCCTTGTGGTCCTTGAGGTCCGGTGTCACCCTTCTCTCCTTTCAGTTCATCTTTATGTTCGTTATAATATTCTAATGTCATAAGGTGTACATCATTACTGCTACCAGCAACGCCGAGAATTTGTTTCTCATTCATGACTAAATTCTTTAGGCATTTAATGTTGTCGTCAAATCGAAAGCTCTTTAACAATTCAATGAGAACATTCAGTACTTTCACTAATGAGGCATCTACTGTAGAATTTATATATTGCACCGTTCCATCATTTATAATAGGAACTTTACTTATTGTAATGAATGGGTCATAAGTGTTAAAAGTATCGAAATCAATGACTTTTTTAGTTTTTCCATCGTCAATGACTAAATCATTGCCTTCAATGGTTAAAGTTGAGTTTTCGTTTACTAGTTCATGTGCTCTTCTTGCTTCATTTGTTTCATACGCATATGCAGCAATAGTCATATTTTAATGAGAATAAAATGTTGTTCTATTTGCAAAGTACAGACCCAAACGAATACGGGACAGTAAAGCTACAAACAAACTTAGGTCTTCAGAATGAAGCGCTTGCTTTCAGAGTTGTTGACTTTAATACTATTGCTTCATTCGTTATAACTGACGAAACAGATTTCATGGAGTTTGAAATAGATGGAAAGAAGCACGAAATAAGATTTCACAATAATGTAGAATATAAGATGGAAACATTAGCTGGAGTGTTAAATGCTCTCATAAATACTACAATAAACAAGGATAACGAAGAAAACTTAATGAATGTTAAACTTATTGCAGGAGTTTTGAAGTTCAGTTATGCGAAGGAGTTTAAGATAACACGAATGAGTCATAGAGTACAACTTCTTTTGGGTGCATACCATATGACATTTCCTTTGAAAAGTGTTGACAAAACGATTGAGATGAAATCTGTTCCATACGTATGTTATGGTAATTGTTTGTACATTGAGTCTAAAATAGCTAATGTCACAGGTATTTCAGGAGTTAATAGTAAAGGTTCAGTAGAATATAAGTCTTTCTGTTATGCAGTCAATTCAATGTTCATTCCAAACGTTCCTGTCATAGCAACTCATTTAGGTAAATGGGTTCGCATTAGTCCTCATAATTTGAAAGACATGCAATTCAGACTTGTTGACTTTCAAGGAGAGCCTGTAGAACTGAAGGCACCAGTGCGAATGACTGTTGAAGTTGACTTTTTAGAAAATATTAAATGCAACAGCTTACAAGAGAACTCAGAGCTAAAAATATAAAGTATGAATGTTATGTATTAGGTCATGAACTTTGGTTGTTGCTGTTTGATGAAACAAATGAGTTAGTTATGTCAGTCAAGAGAACAGAAAAATATTGTGTTAGTGAAAACTGCACCAAGTCAATAAGATTAGGTTTGCATTATGAAGATGAGTTCGATACTGTTGAAGAAGTTTTGGATAGATATTACAAATTGCTAACTTGAAATTTTTTTGACTGACGGCACAAAGCGCCAAGACCGAAGGTCCTGACTGCTTTAATTTACTAAAACATATTTCAAACAAAGCTTATAGTAAGTAGATAGTTTTGTATACTCGTTCGAATATTTATACTTAAACTCAACTCCTGTAGTTCCTGGTGTTTCAATGATGCGGATGTTACCTATTTTCATGAATAGTGGAGTTTGACCACAGCATTCGATTTCAGGGTCGAGATAGTCAATGACACATTGTTTCCCTGTTATTCGTGAGATAACATTTTCAAGGTCCTCCTTTGTTAGAATTATTTGGTTCTTGCTTATAAGATTTGTCAAAAGCTTCTTATCGTCTTTGAGTAAAATTGTTTGGTATAACTGAAGAAGGTAATGGTCTACGTTATCTGAAGGATTTGTTTGAACATTTGTGTAAGGGTTGTCGTTGGCTTCTCTTGAAAGAATTTGGTCCAGTGGTGGATACTCTAACTTAACATCTGATGTAGCGTTAGCGTTTGAAGCTGAGTTTAAATTCACGGATTTCAGTTCTGGTTCTTTTTCTTTCAAACACTCTGAACTATAGTTCTTTATGACAATATTGTTTGTCGTTCGTGAGTCAACATTTGATGTTGGTTCAATTGGAACATTAACGGCACCAGCTAAGATGGATTTGCTTCTCATTTCATATAGAATAAAAACCTTTTATATGTATGAAATGAACAATATACTCGACAAGGGTTTGAATGTAAAGCTAACGAATGAAAATATTGTTGAATTCACTTAGACAGGTGCTGTGTATAAAGATGTAGAACTACTGAACAAAAGAGCTAAGGGAAGAAGCAGGAACATGAACAAAGGGTGGAAGCCTATAAAAATTTATGTCAATGATGGCTCAGGAGGTTCAAACATAAAGTATGCAGAAAGTTATAGAGTTTATGCTCTCAAAGGTGAAAAGCCTTCATTTAAGAACAGCTATTCTAACGCATATCCTCAAAAGCTAACGGATGGGGAAGTGGATGATATGAATGACAGCAAAAATATTAACAGAAATGGCGACAGAGATGCATGGAATTTGTTTACCATCAGTCAATTGAAGGTTAAACTTTAAAACAATGTTGGTCGTTTCCATGGAATATTTTTGACTTTAATGGTATTAGTCATGATATGAATCTCAAGGTATGAACGAGGAGAGATGAGAGACTTATATGCTTCCCAAATTTCTTCAAAAGGTAATGTTATACCTGACTGTTTCCAAATGAGTTCAATATCATAGCGTGAGAAACCTTGAAAGATAATGAAGTCAGTTATGAGACGTTTTATGTTTAAAGCTAAAAACCTCCATGTTTGCATAAGTATTGCTACAGTTAAATGGTAATGTCTGACTTTAGTTATGATGTTAGCTAATGGTGAGTCTGGTTTTGACACTAAACCTTTTCCGGCGAAGTCGTCACAAACGAGCAGAGTGTTTGAAGGATATTTTTTGAAGGGGTATTTTGAAAGTTTTGACAGAATGTAGTTTGTCAGTCGTTTCATATCGTAAACTCCTGAGTACTGACGTAAGTGGTGTTTGTCAATAATTCTTTCCATCTCCTCAGAAGTCTTTTGCATTCCTGACTGTATAAATTCAACGATGGCATAATATTTCCTCTTACGTCGAATGTAACGTTGAAGAAATTCAATGAGTTCACTGTCTGGAACTTTAACGACAGAGGCTTGAACTTTTGACATAAATGTTTTCGCTGTTGAGTCCATAGAGTCTGAAGTTGCTGATATAATGATTTGGTCATAATATGAGTCATTTCCTAAACGTTCTGTTATGAGTATATGACGAATGAGATTAAATGTCTTACCTGAACCCATCTTTCCACAATAGAAATACACACCATTTGAACAGAATTCATAATCTTTGCTGAAAGGAAGAATAAGAGAAGAGTTAAGTTTGTCTGTAGTTTCATTCATGTCTTCATCTACATCATGTATTAAATGCTTCATTTTATCTCCATTAAAAATGCAAGTCAGAAATATTCAGAACATAGCACCGAGTCTAACTGACAAGAGTATAAAGATATACTATGAACATGTTATGATGAAACCAACCAAAATTCAAGAAAGTCAGTATACTTATGAATATCCAAGACACTGGGTAGAGTATGTAGGAGGTGAGAAAGCTATTGAAATCAGACAGGTTCGAAGTATTCCAGCAGGAAGAACAATATTATTGAAGAACTTTAATGTTTTGAGATATAATGATGAAACAAAGAAGCAAGATAGTTTCCCTGTTGCTGTGTATGTGAACCTAGACACAGGAGATGACATGAAAGTTTTTAACACAAAGCTTCAAACGGTAGTGAGAGAACAACTGACTGCGGAAGGGCATCCATTACCTTCAGAAGTTACCATAGCATATAATTTTGAAACAAACTCAATAGATTTTAAAGTCATCTCTGCAAAGAAGTCAGGTTTTACATTTAATGAAGCAGATGTATATTCGAATGAAAACTTCAAAGCTATTGCATGGTTAGATAATGACGATTGCTTTAAGAAAATATTTAAATTCAGTGACTCAAAGATGTCAATAGATGACCTTCGTGGAATGTTACCATCGACGTTTACAGTTGAAGGTCAGCAGGATTGCTTACAAGATTGTCAATTGGTGGCGTTTGGTCTCGTGAGAACATTGTTATAAAATCCAGTATAAGTGAATTTGCTGAAGAATCTATATTATGTCTTTCAAACTACATGTATTCGCCACCGAAGCATTATAGTATAACAAACTTTGTCAGTAAGTTTAACATAAGACTTGTCGAACCTTCTTCAATGAAAGATGTTGTGCTACCTAAAGATGGAAAGGATGGACTCATTATTGAGATGATTTTAATTGCATATTAAATGAGCTTGTTCTTGAAGGTCATTCATGATGAAATAACTGTTGTAGAAGATGTTAGCAATTGTTCAGATATTTTATTGAGAATAGATGAGATAAGAAAGAAGTTAGATAGACCGCAAAGCGGTGAGGGCGAAGCCCGTGAGAACGCTTATGTTTCATTGACTTTCTCCAGTAACGAGAACTTTTATGAGATAATATTGAAGAGAGATGATTTTAATATGGTGTAAATGGTAGCTTGGGCAGCTTTAGGCGCAATGGGAACAAAAGCATTAGCATTTGGAGCAAAAGCACTTGGAGCTTATGACGCAGTAAATAAAATGAGTGGAGGAAGGGTTTCGAAGACATTAGATGCAAATAAAGGGAAGATTGGAGGCTGGGTTGCAAAGAAGTTAAGATTAAATAAAATAGGGCTCATAAATAAAGCATCCAATTTGGTTGCGACTGAGTCAGAAAATGCTTTAGGAAAGGACGATGAGTTTGCAAAACACGCAAAAGACTTTAATGACCAGATGAAAGGTAAAACAATGCATTTAAATAGAGTCGATGGAACTAAAGAAAATGTTTCTTCTCCACTAGTAGTTCTTCCATACGGACCTTATGGAATGTATGGAAACCCTTACGAAAGACCATTTGACCCATTGACTGGTGGAAGTAACTGGTATCATTACGGACGAAGAAGAAAGACAGTCAAGTTGGAGACAGACGTGAAGAAAGCAACTAAAAAGAAACCAAGGAAGAGAGTTATAAAGCAATGAATTCAACAGGGTGAAAAAAGAGGTGAGATCTCACCACTTCACCTAAATTTATTTTTGTGCTATGTTTTCATACGTGTGAGGGTGGTGAGATCATTTATTTTTTATTTTATTTTTAAGTTTATTTTTATATAAATGACGAAAACTATTGAGATAACAAACTACAACGGTCATGAGTTCAAGAATTTGTTCTTCGTTCCTCGTGAAAATACATTCTATCAGATACGAGGGAGAAAGGGTAAAGTTAGTTTGAGCGTTTATGACAACAAACATAATGGGAGATATATAAAAGCAATAGATACAAACGGTAAGCGTGTTTCATTAGCTTTGTCAAAACTTACTAACATTTATTTTGACAGTGACTTTGACTCTGACGATT